TGCTTCACTGCTGCAAGACCCAACTGGTAATGGGGAAGAACCACAAAACCCTGTAATGAGCAAATTGCCCCTGCTCCCACCCACGGATCTGTCTCTCCATTCCCACCCACGGATCTGTCTCTCCATTCCCACCCACGGATCTGTCTCTCCATTCCCACCNTCCCACCCACGGATCTGTCTCTCCATTCCCACCCACGGATCTGTCTCTCCATTCCCACCCACGGATCTGTCTCTCCATTCCCACCTATGGATCTGTCTCTCATTTCCCACCCACGGATCTGTCTCTCCATTCCCATCCACGGATCTGTCTCTCCGTTCACACAGGTAGCAGAGAAGGGTCATGGGGACTCTGTGCGCTTTATCTTATATAATTCGAAAGGTTCAAAGGTTTAATACCATGTGTCTCAATCCAGTCCTCGGGGACCCCCAGTTCTTCCCAGTTCACAGCCAATGAAGAAGACCGAATACGGAGTACACATGTGCCTGCCGTTTTTAGGTCCTATCTCCCAGTACAATCCCAGTAAAGTCCTCCAAAGTTCCTCTGTGCAGCCCAACGGTGACATGGCCAGCCCGTCCCAGGATTAACCCCCACGGTGAGGCGGCCCGATCTTTTAGCAGTGCCGCCCGTGCCAGCAGAGCAGACGCACAGCACCTCAGAAGGGCCCTCGCTCGCTAATGAATGCCAAACACCCTGTTACGCAACGTTACGCAATCCAGCCGTCTGGCAGACGCCCACAAATCGGCATGGCCAATGTGCACATCTTATCACCTGATCCGCTTTGTTTCAGCAGGCAGCGTGGGGGGGGGGGGGGGGGGGGGGGGGCACCCCTGGTCTAAAAGCACAGTCTGTTGCTGCAGCACCAATTTGCCAATTCCTGCATCTGACTGCACATGGACAGCACTACAAGAAGCTCTCCTTAGGTAAACCAACATGCCATGCTTGGAAACACAACGCAACTAGCCCATGCCCGGCCCGGCCCGGTACAATCCGTGCAAGATTTCCTGCTATCACACACGACAGGAGATTAACATTTGGTACCAGATGTCGTTACATATTTTGACAGTGTGATTAGGCAAGTATCGGGGGCGGGGAGGGATAGGGACAGATGTAAACTGAATGCAAGAGCCTCAGCCTCAGAGGAAGTGTAACAGTCAGGCAGAGCATTGGACAGCCTGCTTGAGTTAGGGTCCATCAAACAAAGATCTCCGTTTGCCTCAACTGACCTCTGTGTTCTTACGCTGGGGACTGTTTTTTTTTATTTTAAGGAATTGCGATCAGAGACTAGAAGGGTCAAGTCTTCTTATGGTGGATCAGCTGTCGTTCTACTTGAAAAGACCACAGATTGCTAGGCTGTGCCATGAAAGCCCCTCTGGGCACCGGAAAGTGAGGAATACTATTAGCAATTCAGGCTTGACAAAAGCCATTGACATTTAGCACCCAATCACTGATTTTACCTTCAGCTTCCTTCCAAGTTTTCCAAAAGTCCAAAGCTGGTTTAAATTTAAGAGTATTACAGTCAGAGCCTTTAAAGTTAAAAGAAGGATAAAATGTACCAGAGAAACCCAAGATACAAACTGATGTTAGATCTTTTTCTGGTCCTATCAAAAAAAGATCAGAGGCCAGAATAAAACAATCATGGTAGGAAAACAAGAAACACGACATGGCATGACATTCGTGCTAAATGATGGACAGAAAGCACGTACGGTCTGCTGACACAGACAGTGTGAACCAACAGCACACATATGTGAAGGATAACATCCACTCTAAAGGAAGTGCGAAGCAAAGAGTGCCCGAGACATTCTCAATACACCTTCATTTAGACTTCTTACAAACATAGGAAACAGGAGTCAGATGGATCTACATCAAACTCCACATGAAACAATCGAAATCCATTCAGAAAGCATCACCATCATCAGACAGCCTCCTCTAAAAATATATTTTTTTAAAAACCTACCCTCAAAAAATTAAACAACAAAGAGTTAATGAAAGTAAATGAAAAGTACTACCTTGTTTTTCACTGAAAAAATCTAAAATTGCAAAATCTAAAGGACAAGAACATAGTAATAGCTGCTTCAGTCAAGGACACTGAGAATAGACTGGTAACGTACTGTAACAATCACAATAGTCACAAAAATAATCTACACAAGAAAACTAGATGGGTGAGACTGCTAGTTCTGTTGAACTGAGAAAAGACCTAAATTAAACTGGATTGACCTGGAATTCAATTCAGAAATCTTTTCCTAACAGAGATTAATCTAGTGTTGTGGTAGTGTTCCCCACGGAACAATACTAAAGTAAATTTCAAAATATATTAAAAGAACGTACAATTTGGGGGGTGACTTACAAATGACACCTATCAAATGAATGGGGGGCTTCATTTTTCTGTGCAGGGGTTCAATCGGCATCAACTGGGCAGGCTATGAAGAATGTGCTACCGCTCAAGATAAGATTAGACACTCCGGCTGGGACACGGGGCAGGAATCAGGAAAGATCCTGAGCCACCGGGGGAGGGAAAAGTGAAAGGGCATTAATCACGGATGGCACCTTGGGCGCAGGCAGGTACCTTTCATCAAGCTGCCAGCGTCGGCACTGGTTACGTAACTCACACACACTCACGCATGCACACACACACACACACACACGCACATGTAGGGTAAACATATCCTTATGGGGACCGCTCATTCATTTCAATGGGAAAAATGCTAACGCTAACTATGACAACCTTAACCCCTACCCTGCGCTTACCATAACCATAAGTAACCAAACAAAATACAAGAGTTTTTGCATTTTTAGTTATTTCATAGCAGTCACCGATTTTTATAAAATAGAGTTTTCCCTTAGGGGGACCAGGAAACCAGTCCCCACAAGGGAAAAAAAACGGATATTTATCACGTTATGGGGACATTGTGTCCCCATAAGGATAGGTAAACCCGTTCGCATGCACACACACACACACACACTCACGCATGCACACACACACACACATGCACACACACACACACACACACACTCAGGCATGCACACACACACACACACACATGCACACACACACACACACACACACACAAAGTCTCGTTTCCAGAAACACAGTGGGCAGGGAGACAGTCTAGTTAAAAAGGCTTGAATTCTTTTATTTTTCATCTCAAGAACCATCACAGAAGTTCATATGAAAAGAATGAATCACTCATATGATGGTTCTTGGTAAACAGTGTGCATCCATCTCAGAATTACTGGTGATGGTTTAAGAGAACCGCACATCTTCTGTTATAGTGGACATTCAGTCACCTAAAGGATTATTAGGAACACCATACTAATACCGTGTTTGACCCCCTTTCGCCTTCAGAACTGCCTTAATTCTACGTGGCAATGATTCAACAAGGTGCTGAAAGCATTCTTTAGAAATGTTGGCCCATATTGATAGGAT